TCATTGTACCCAAGAAGGACAAATCATGGCAGTTGTGCATTGATTTCAAGGATGTCAACAAAGCCTGCCCTAAAGGATGCCTACCCCTTCCTCGAGATCACCAGATCGTCGATGCAATGGCTGGCCACGATCTGTTATGCATTCTGGATGCATACTCGAGCTAGCATAATATCAATACGAAGGAATCCGACCAGGAAGCAATAGGCTTGATTACTCCCCTACGCTCTGGTTCAACATTATCCCCTTTGGGATAAAAAATACAAGCGCAACTTACCAGCGACAACGAATGATACAAACATGCATGCACACACAGATCGGCAAGACTGCCGAAGCCTCTGTGGACCATGTGGTTGTTACTACCAGGCAGACCAACACCGCAATCCATGACTTCGGCGGGATATTAAAAAATATCCATGCATATGCTATCAAGCTGAACCCGTAAAAATGTGTCTTTAGTGTTCCATCTGGCAAGCTCCTTCGTTTAATTGTCTCTCAAAGAGGCATTGAAGCAAACCCTGACAAAATCAGGGCGCTAGCAGGGCTAATCACACGTACTGAGCTCCGAGATATCCAAAGACAGGTTGGATGTGTTGTCTCCCTGAGCCGTTTCACATCCCGCATTGGCGACAAGGCACTGTACATTTATTGGCTGCTTAAACAGATTGAGTGCTTCAAGTGAACCGTCAAGGCTATTTCGGCTCTCGACAAAATCAAAACACTACTGGACACTAGTCCTGTCTTAGCTGTTCATCACCCCAGCGAGCCAATGTTATTATACATCCCAGCAACTAACCATGCAGTAAGCGTCATTCTAATCATCGAGCGAGCCATGGAGGGCCACATTTCCGAGGTACACACATTGTGTAAAATGAGGTACCCACATTACCAGAAGATACCCTTTGCGGTTTTTATGGCTTCTCGAAAAATAAGGCACTGTTTCCAAGATAGCTCGATAACTGTGGCCTCCGAAGTGCCACTGAACGACATTATAAATAACTAGGACGCCACCAGTTTGTGTCATGGAATTGGCCATTGAGCTCCTTCCTTTTGAAATCCTCTATTGACCATGTCGGGCTATTAATTCCCATGTATTGGCCAATTTGGTCACCGAATGGACAGAAGCCGAACTCCCTAGAGAGCATGCAGCCTATTCCAACTAGTAATGTACTTTGATGGTTCCAAAAGGCTCGCCGGGTTAAGAGCAGTTGTGGTTCGCGTCTCACCCACAAGCGAAACCATGAACTACATGGTCCAGATCATGTACAACTACTCCAATATTGCTGTAGAATACCAAGCATTGCCTCATGGACTTCAAATGGAAGTATCTATGGGTATTCAATGACTAGAGATCCAAGGCGGTTCCACCCTTGCGATCTCTCAGTTCAACGGTGATTTCCATGCCAAGGACCCACCAATGTCAGCGTACTGGAATAGAGTGATGACCATGTCGGCTCGCTTTGTGGCCAAGAATTTCATCACATACGGCAGGATACCAATCAAGCCGCAGACACGTTGGCGAGGATAGGAGAACGGCGGAAACTTGCTCCCCAAAATAACTTTCTAGAACGGTTGTTCGAATCATTCGTCAAGTGGGCAAGGTGCGGCTGATTCAAGCAAACTAGTCGAGGAACCTACTACCGATTTGATCACCAGGAAATAGTTGGGGGCTGAGAGCTAGAAGAAACATACTCAACCACTAAGATCATGGAAGTAATTACGCTATGGACCGAGCTGCACCTTGAATATTTGATAAGCAAAGAACAACCCGAGGAACATACGGAGACATGGCGCATCTTTTGACGATTTGTCTCTTATACCATCTCTGAAGGAGAACTCTACAAACATAGAGTTATCGACATACTATAACGCTGCATTTCTGAAGAGGAAGGGCAACAGGTCTTATAAAAAGTTCACTCCGGCATGTGTGGGCACCATGCAACACCTCAGACCTTGGTAAGCAAGGAATTCAGAGTAAGCTTTTACTGGCCCACAACAGGGCCGAAGCACGAGACTTGGTCGACAAGTCTGCCGGATGCCAGCTCTTCGCTAAAAGGAGCCACTTGCCAGCCATAGACCTAATAATAATCCCAATCACATGGCTGACTGCGGTCTGGGGGTTGGACATGGTCGGACCACTCCATAAAGGAAAAACCGGAAAAAAGTATCGTTTAGTTATGGTCGACAGGATCACCAAATGGATTGAGGCAAAACCTCGGCCTTGGCAAAAGCTAAATCTGCGATTTACTTCATCTTGGGTGCTGTACACTGTTATGGGATGCCTCACAGCATCATAACAGACAAGGGATCAAACTTCACGGCTGAAGGCAAAATCATGGTGTATTAAGCACAATATCAAACTTGATTACGCCTCCATCTACCACCCACAAACGGGCAAGTAGAGCGAGCCAATGGATTGATCCTAAGTGGTATAAAACCATGCTTGGTCCGATCTCTGGCAGAAGCTGATAACAAATGTATCGAGGAGCTTAACTCGTGTTATGGAGTTTGCGTACAACGCTGAACATATCCACTGGCTACGGACCATTCTTTATGGTGTATGGTCCTGAAGCCATTTTGGCCGGTGACCTCATTCACGACTCACCTCGGGCACGCTTGTATGAGGAAAAGGAGGCCAAACAAAGGCGACTGGACGATCTAGACTCCATGGATGAAGAATGAGATGTGGCTAAAGCACGGTGCGCCTTGTCTAAGTAGCAGTTACGGTGCTACCAGCAGCACGAGGTCCGAAAAAAGGCCTTCAACATTGGGGATTTAGTGTTACGACTTCACCCTGACAAGAACGGTAAGCACAAATTATCAGCCACTTGATTGTCTCGTGATTCGCAAAAATTTGGGATCACGCACCAGATCACAACAGGTTTTAAGTTTTAGTTTCTGCAACTTATGATTTTGTCGGTCGCTCGTACCAAGTTTGAAAAGTTGAAACTGAAGGAAGTTTTAAAAACTCATCAAAATATATTCAAAATGGATCTCATTTGAAAGCCCCTCGTCACCGAAAACATAAATATTTAAAAACAAAACTTAATTTGGAATTTTGGTATGAAAGATATGAAAGATTGAAAATCGAAAGCCCAAAGAAAAACTGGGCTGCGTGCCCCCGCTCTTGCGTACATTCTACAAAGCACCACCCTAGGAAAGAATACAGCTTCATATATATGCTTGATAAATAAATAGATCCTGATTTGTGAAGTTAATATTGAAGATGACACTAGGATCTAGGAATGATGATGTCCATTGGAGAATGTGGAGGAAGTGAGAACTACAATTGCAGATCTATTCCCAGAAGAAGAATTCCCACGAAGTCACACAGGGGTCAGGGAACCAGGATTACCACTTCAAGGCCTACAACTACATCCTCCAAACTACTAAGTTCGCCAAAAAAAATTGCTAGTAGGCGTCCCAGTGTCAAAAGAAGAGCGGTATAAAGCCATAGTAGTAATGCAATCACATTGTTGGTTGTCACTTGTAGAATAATCTTTACTTTCTGGTTATTGCATCCTTCTGTCCACTTAGGATAATTAGAGAGAGGCTTGCCGCTTTATTAGTATAACAGCTCCATACTTGCATTGATTCATGGACAATGTACAAGTGATTTAAAATGTCTTCTATTTGTTATTGTTATTTTGTCAGAAGAATTGGTAATGAAAATTTTATTGATTTCGTTGTCACATCGAGTGATACAACTGTGGCACACTCTGGCATCTGGATTCGAAAATAGATTAAAAATCTATGAAGTGCCTACCCGATGATTAGATCCTCATTCCCATTCATGCTAGATGAAGAGCTCCATACTATTTGCTCAAGGCCAAGGCACACCCATTAGTCATTTCCCACTCCTCTTTTCTCTTCTATTCATTGTTTTCTTGTGTTCATGGTCTTTGTAAATTGTTCTCCCTGGAACTAGGATAGTAGACCTCGTCCATGCACAACGCACGCACCAGACATGCCTTGGAAACCTGCACGCATGACATGCGTCATGAACAGATATGTGTGCGCCGTGCCTGGGCCATGCACATACACACGCACACACCAACTGGCCCATGGTACGGCTCACACGCACGAGCGCACATGCCTCACAAACGCGCACTCCCGACCATGGCCGTGCACACGCGCAGGCAGACGGCCAGGGCCCCGGAGCGGAGCGGCAGAGTGGAGGGACTCCGAACAGCGCTCTATTCTAAAAAAAAAATAAACTATGAAGGGTTTGAAAGCATATGTCTGGGTGTCTATATAAAAGCCAGCCGGTTGGAACAAAATGGCAAGTACTGATACGGATTAGAATTTTGGGATGGAAACAGCCAAGGACTTTTGGTGCTGAGCCAAAATGAAACATTGCCGATTTAAAGGGAACTCTTATTTTAGAAAGAGGTAATGACAGGCCAATCAAACAAGAAAATAAAACGCGTGGAAACAAGCTGTGAATTACCAATAAACACATTTCTACCCTAAAGAGGTTACTTTCTCCATAGCCATAAAACCTTCACAGTCATATGCTTTGCTTTCTCTACACTCCAATCATATGCTTTGAACCCAATATCATTAAAAAATAATACATTTGTACTATGGTGCAACCAAATAACTTCTACTATAGATATTACGTTCTCATCGCGTGGCCGACCGGACGACTAGTTTGATGGAGAGACCCGGGAGAGATGTCTCCCTTAGAAAATCATACACGTGCCAGCCCAAGGCATTGATACAAATCTCTCACATTTGTGCTACAAATACCATTGTTATATACTCCCTCCGTCCCACAATATAAGACGTCTTTGAAAGCTAACATAGCTTGCAAAGATATCTTATACTGTGGGACGGAGGGAGCATTATTTATGCCCATTACACACGACATATATGTGCCAGATAAAAGGTGACAAAATATCACGAAACACATGAAATTCACACAACTTTAACTGAGTACAAAATAAAGTACAATAGCTGAACGGAACAACGAACAAGGAACAATACAATGACTAGTTATCTTAGCGGACATTCCAGTCCTCTGCGTTCCGCATGGATGGCACGAGCCAGATTGGGGGGCATCGCGCCCGAGCTTGATTGCTGGTAAGTTCTACACCTAGTGCAAGATCTTCATTCAAGCTGAAACGGCATAGGTCAGGAAAGTCTCCATTCCAACTCCTAATGCGTTCATGCATACTGAAAATGCATCCATGCTTCATGAAGGGAAGGTCCTGGGCATCATGTACAGATGGTGGCATTTCAATCATCAGTGGATAATTCATGCCAATGAACAGAGAGTATGCTCCAAGATCATGCTTCCTTTCCCAGTGAGCCCCAGCAAGATTCCAGACCATGCCATTCAACTGGAACACAAGGCAGCGCATTCTTCCATATGAGCGCAGTCCTCGCTCCAGATATGGACTCTCGACCTCTTCCCCTGTTACGACCCCACGTGTGTGGACCAATAACATAGTTTGATTGTCATTTATGTCAGGTACAAGATTCCAAGAGAGAGGCGTGAGGTCCTGTCCATCGATGATAACAGGAGCCGGGATTTTCTGAGGAGCCAAGTTCAATCCTGCCCAAAAACCGTTCATCATATTAGTTGTCTGAATTGCAATAGTTCCTAAAATGTGATCAATGTAGATGAGCTTACCGTATGAGAGCTGCCAAACGAAAACAGACCCCTCGTTTGTCAGTGCAAAGATCCGTCCGCCATGAAGAACAGCATCTTCATACACAAAAGGGAACATGAGGTCCGACCTTAATAGTTTCCACCCGTCGCAGGTGAAACCACCCCTGGCGATGGCAATTGAGATGTCGAACACCGCGATCACAGTGTACTTGCTATAGCCGGCCTTCTTGGATGGTGCATCAGCGATAGCTATCTTCTTCAGCTTTGCCCTTGCTTGATCAAAGTGGAATTGCACGCTGTCTGGCAAGTCTTCCAGATCAAACCCTATGCTGGAAATGGGCGGAAGTGGCACAGTGAACGTAGTGTACACATTGTGCAGTTCAATATGGCCAGCATCTCCAACATACGCTAGCCAGTCACCGTTAGCACCAACCCAGCGTTTGTCAGGAGTAGACATCAAGCGTGCATGCAGCGTCGGGGCATCCAGAGGCATGAGCGTACATCGCGTACCTTCCTGTGGCCGCCCGATCGGCCATGAGAGATCTTCCTCGAGCATGTTGTTGCCGTGGCTATGCCCTAGCTCTACCTCTCTCTCACGCTGCACCTCTCTCTCTACCTCTGAACTAGATCAACAGAAGAAGAAGGAAGAATGAGAAGGAAGAACAAGGACACGGCAGTTTCCAGGCGCACGAACACCTTTTCTCCTGAGCACAAACTCAGCCCGGCCACTGCCAGCGATACACAGAGGCCACCTGGGCTTTATACGCGTGCTTGTACGCACGCACTCGCCCACGCCCCGCATCCCACGCCGTGCCTGGATCACGCTCTCGTCGCGCCCGTACGCAGACAACGCGGCCACCGAACAACCCTGGACGCGGTCACCCTCCGGCTCCATCGCCAACTGACCAACGCACGCACTAACAACCCGCTAGTCAGCTACATGCACGGCCACCCTTGTAGCTAACCACCTAGCCAAAACACACACGGTCGTACCATGGCCAGACACACTACACACGCGACCATGCCACACACGCACGCACACACACATGGGCATGGCTTGCTGCTAACATTCACGCCCCAAGCCATGACCTTGCACATGTCAGGCTCGTCGTCGACGTCGCGCCATGGCCGCTGGTACAGCCTCCACCGCGCAGCACCGCACGTCCCGCGCTCCCAAGCTCGTGTACACGACGCGCACGCACGCAGTCGCCACGGCCCGAGTCCAGCGCCCCGACGCGGTCTGTCCTCCGTTGCCTTCGCCACGCCGTCATCATCGTAGCCGCACTCCCCACGTCCCCGCGCTCCCGGTCCGCGCTCCCGCCGCGCACGTACGCGATCTGCGCAACCAGGTCCAGCGCCTCGACGTGGTCCACGCCGCGGTCCCGACGCACCCGACGCGCCCGGTGCGCACCCATAACACGCACCGGTCGCGCCCGGCTCGCCGCCGCGCTTATTGCCCTTGCACCGCTGCGCCGTCAACCGCAGCGCAGCGCCTCCACGGTCGTCGCGCCGAGCCGCCGCAGCCTCTGCGCCACCACGCAGGTCCTCCGCGGCCTCCTCGTCTCCGCGATCGCCGCTGCTCGTTGCGCGCACGGCATCACCGTGCACGGCCGTGCATCGCAGCCGATGCGCCCATGCCGGCCGCGCTCACCGCGGACGCCGTGGCCGCAGCCTCCATCTCCGCCGCGCTCGCCGTCCGCGCCGCGGACGCGGCCGCACGCCACGGCCGCCCCTCGAACTTGTGGCTCTGTATACCAATTGTTGTTGCCGTGGCTATGCCCTAGCTCTACCTCTCTCTCGAACGATCAGTGGAAGAAGAAGGAGGAGGAAGAACACGGTGGACACGGTGGTTTCCGGCGCACATACGCCTGCTGCTCGAACAGCCTTTTCCCGAGCACGAACTCGATACAACTTACAACGCACATACGAGGGGCTTTATACCAGGGAAACGCCTGGGCACGTACCCACGTTCTCCCCCTACTTGGAGCACTCGGTCCGGCCCGCTCTGGCCGCGTCCACCCTGCGCACGACCGCGCCCGGGTCGCGGTGAGCCCGCAACAGACCAGCTCCTCCCGGCCGCCTCGCTCGCCAACTGATACCTACGTCTATGGCACGGCTACCGCGCGCACACACGCGCACCCATGCACACACACACGCACGGCCACGGACCCGGCGCGCCCTGGCTCACACCCGACGCGTCCTGAGGTGGCTTATGCCCAACACTCACCCCCCTAAGCCACGAACTCAGAGGAGACCGACGTCCTCGACGCTGCCGTCCGCCAGCAGCGCGCGCTCCGCCGCGCCATCGACGTCGTCGTCGTTGTAGCCGCCACCGCCCTGACGTCGGTGCCACGCCTGCCACCATGCCGCCGTGCCCTTCACGCGCACACCCCGCATCCCACGCCGTGCCTGGATCACGCTCTCGTCGCGCCCGTACGCAGACAACGCGGCCACCGAACAACCCTGGACGCGGTCACCCTCCTGCTCCATCGCCAACTGACCAACGCACGCACTAACAACCCGCTAGTCAGCTACATGCACGGCCACCCTTGTAGCTAACCACCTAGCCAAAACACACACGGTCGTACCATGGCCAGACACACTACACACGCGACCATGCCACACACGCACGCACACACACATGGGCATGGCTTGCTGCTAACAGAGCACGCATGGTAAATCAAGCGGCATGTCAAGGGATATTCTAGGAACTGTCTCTAGAAGGACCGTGCAAGTACCAGCAAGTCGAGCACGACTAAGCACGTCAATCCGAGATGTTATTATTTGCAGGATGTCCTCCTGCATGTTGGCCCATCTTCGCTGGTTGCCGTCCGTCGCCTCCAAGTTTGCCTCGCGGGAATGTAGCATGTTGGCATTCCGGCTAGGCGATGTGGGGAGAGGATTTGGCAAACATTAATAAGACATGTAAATTCTAAAGGAATTTAGTAATATTAAGGTGTGTCAATTAGAATGGAAAGAACAATGGATAACCGGTGATAAATTACTCATTTGAGATGGGTTTGACAAACATCTCCAAGAACCAAATGCACGTACAAACACCATCAATTCTCAAAAGAAAACGTAGAAACATCATCAGAAATGGTATAGGAAATTTGAAATGTGCTCTCGAAATTATCTTTAAGTGTTCATTTGTAGCGTTAAGCACAACAATGCTTTTTTTCCAAATTTTCTGCAAAACTTCATTTTTCAAAGGCGTGAACTTCACAAAAAAGGGTGGGATTATAGAGATGACACATGATATAATACATGTCAAATCCATAAAACATGTCGGAATCTGATGGCATACGGTACGAAAAGAGAATCCCATTAAAAAAATACAAACGAGAACGAGCGGTGATACATGTGATTGACATGTATTATATCGTAATAGCAAAAGCAGCATACCGTGGCCGGCCGCGTATGGAGTTCCGTCTCGACCGTCGAATCCTCGCCATCGTCAGGTGTATCACGATACAGCCTGTAAGTACTACCCTGCCGTTGTGGCTTCTCAGGCTGTGATTGACTGGTGGAGGCCGGAAGGAGGTGATGGTTTGTCAGCCAGGCCAAAAGGCCGGCTTATATAAGCTAGCCAGTTGGAACAAAATGGCAAGTCTTGATACTATTGATAAGGATCCAAATTTTTGGATTTTAGTGAGAGGCATGTGAACGTGTTCGGGTCTACGCCTTGAGTTTTATAGATGTAAACGTGGACGATATAACTTTATTTTCTTATGTATGTGAATGCGGTTGATTTAACCTTCTTGTTATATATGTGAACGTGGTTTATTTTACTTTACGAACACAGACGCTCATACATACGAACATTTACTCATCCCTATAAATGCATGCACGCCCTCCCTATCCTTATGAGCACCTCCGAGAGACTGAGACGACACATCATTTTGAGATTGAGAAAGTTGCCACATAAGTCTACCTAGTCAACGGGAACGTCTCCTCCCACTGAACCCACATCACCAGAAGGTCTGAAATAAATTGAGAAAAATACGAGCACCAGTGTCAAGTCTACACCTGAACCCTCGTGGGCCCGGGATAAAACTGTGCTCCTAGCCATCCAACCACATGTTGGTTAGTGGTTGGTTCCTGAGCGTATAACTTGTTATCAAAAGATAATCAGTGAATCCCTGGAGGGAAAAAAGTAAACACTAGAAAAATGCATAACATTATTATAACGCCATAGACATAAGAAAAATGCATCCTAGCTAATAAAAATGTATAGCTTTGGTCTTATATGACTTTGCTTTTGTCGATGTTTTTCCATGTGCGCGTGAGTTGGTGTACGTTGTGTGCATCTTAAGTATGCAAAGGCCGGGTGTCTGCTCTTTATGTTATGTATGTTCTTGATGCTTCATTTTGAGGTTAAAAAAATCCACCCTTTGTCGAAAAAAGGATGACCAATGGCAGCACATAGAGACCATTGCCATTAGCAATATCTTTCACATGATTTGAGGAATATTAAACTTGTTTTTTCCTGGGTTTCTCGCGCGCCAAGAAATAGTGGGAGTACAGGTTGCACGGTTGTATTCCACCATGCAACAGAGGCTAAACTACGTTGGGAGCAAAACTGACGCTACATGGGAGTACATTATCTGAGAGTTGCACCAAAAAACGGTTCAGCCAAACCTATCAACAATGTTTCTGCTTCCAAAGATCTTCACGTGTGAGGGAGTCCTGGACTGGGGGTGTCCGGACAGCCGGACTATCACTATCCGCCGGACTCCAAGACTACGAAGATATAAGATTGAAGACTCCGTCCCGTGTCCGGATGGGACTTTTCTTGGCGTGGAAGGCAAGCTACGGATATGTAGATCTCTTACCATTGTAACCGACTCTGTGTAACCCTAGCCTCCTCCAGTGTCTATATAAACCGGAGGGCTTTCGTCCGTAGGACAACATACATTACAACAATCATACCATAGGCTAGC